TGATGTACAGAGAATATTACATACTAAAATCCATATCATATGTCATGTCACATAAACCCGAGTGGCCCATGTCAACCCTATGGTTGTTATGGCTTATGATAGGGATTTTAGTGTTTGCATTCTATTTATCATATTTTTGAAATATGTAATTTGTAAGGTTACATAAAGTCATATAATAACTATTAGTGCATGTATATGACTCTTTTTCCTTAAAATCTAAAAAAAAAAAAAAACAACTCAATTTCAGGTCATTTTAAAAAAATTATTTAAGTCGAAAAACTTTAGCACAAGAATTTTATTACATGTTTATTTTTAATAAAATCAAGTTAATTAACATTTAAACTTTATACAAACGTTACTTCCTGTTTGATATGGATTTTTGCATACCAATCTGATACGTGATATGGGGTATTGTGTTATCACCAGACCTGGGGATCATTAACTAGGCTGGCCCAGGATAGACAAGAGTGGAGGAAGTTTGTTGCTGCCCTACACACCACAGGGTGTAAAGGATGATGATGATGATGACGGTGTTATCACCGGTATCGCAACGTGCGGAATCGGTGTATTTACTACTAAGTATATGATAAAGGCCAATATAGATACATGTATATATATTTGTAGCATGCCCTAATACAGTTCTGTCTTGAGCATGTTCGGCCGACATGATAAAAATGTAAGGGATTTTGAGTACAGTTCACATGAAAACGACCAAAACAAAAATGCTCCATTTGATGTTTTATCATTTACAGAGTACCGCCACAGTAAAGTACTAGCACCACAGTAAGATTGATTGATTGATTGTATGTTGTTTTACGTCCCATTTGAGAATTTTCCCCTCATATATAGAGACGTCACCATATACCGGTGAAAGGCTTCAAATTTGGATCTTTACTAGGCACTTAGGGCCATTGAGCAGTGAGGGATCTTTATCGTGCCAACGCCTGCCGTGACACGGGGCCTCGGTTTTAAAGGTCTCATCCGAAGGACCCGCAACATTCACTTCAAAGTGCCGAGCGCATGGCGAAGGAACAGTTGCTACCCATTTTTTATCGACTTAGGTCTGTCGCGGCCGAGATTCGAACTCAGAACCTCCCGATCACGGAGCGAGCGTTCTACCGACTGAGCTACCGTGAACGGTTACCACAGTAAGAAAGGAATATAAATGTATAAATATTGTAAGCTCCCCATGGATGGCCATCCTGGAATGGGGGGCCATACAATGTACTTATACAACATTTCTCAAGGTCACTCCTATATTCTTGGTTCATGATTCTCAGTAAGGACAAAGCTTGGTATCAGTTCAAATATTGGTTTATTAATTCATCTTACAACAGGAAATGATAGTATGGTAAACAAAAGTCTATCTTGGATACATATAGATATATCAAGTAATAGCGAGCGCAGCGAGCGGCGCGAAGCGCCGCTCGTCACTGCGAGCTCTAACGACAACGCCTGGGCGAAGAGAAAATTCGGACTACTGCACATTCATTCAATAGAATTTTTTCCCGCAGTAATTCTGGACCCACAATGCATCGCTTGTTGTTCTCGCTGCTAACTTCGTTCGCGCGGTAACAACAACTAAAAAATCACAATAAATAAACTCACCTTAATTTAATGGATATTGCATAGGGATAGTAGATTAAACATTCTTTGTTAAAATCTTCGTACTTTATAAACTTTGTTTATGGAAATGCAACTAACATACGACGTCATGTGACGTCACAGTCTAGACGTTCCAAATGTCTCGTGCGGTTTGAAGAGGCGGATCTTAAACAGTTAAATGAAGTGAACAATGCGCTCGCCCCAACGGTCGCACCGTCAACATATTATTTGTTATGGTCTGCGGCGTCAACCGTACTTTCAAGGGTAAAAGGGGTAGCAAAGTTGATTTGGAATTTAAAAGCTCAAAATATCAAATATCAGGTTCCAGTGTGTTGGGAGATAATTGGCAGTTTTTCCTCACCTAGAATTTAGAATTTGGATGCTGCTGCTGCAACTTATCTGCCATAAACTGGCGAGGCGCTTATATTTATAAGTTTCTGAAGTAGTCATGTGACACAAATTAACGAATGAAAAAGCTGTACGGTGACGCTCGACCAATCACAGCATTGTACAGCGCCGTACAAACAGAGATCTGTCATAGAGTGCCAAACAACGTCAAACAAGGCTGCCGTACAATGTGGATTACAGCTACAAAACGGAATTAATGTTCACATTTGCAATAATAAATAATATGATATGGATCTGGAGGATGTTTTCTTCAACTGTAAGTAAGTATTTCATGTGAATTAAAAGTATATTTCATGATAGAAAACTGCAATCGTACAGCAGACGATATTCAAAGAGCTCTGACATAATAAAAATGTGTAACTACTATTAAATCCCGTTTAAAATAAAACCGCTGATAAATCTTAGTAAAACATCTTCAAACATCAATTTTGTGGATATTCACAAACAATTATAACATCGAATTGCATGAAAAAGTACAACTTGTTCAAATACGAAACTATGGCTAACACAAATAACAAATAAATAAAAAAGATGTCGGCGGGATGTAAACAACTTCCATGAGTCCTGCAATCGTGTGCACTTATGGCAATGTTAGGCACTTATTGGATTCAAATATAATTTGGAAAAATACAGTAACATGGAAAGATTTTAAAGGTATGTACTTTCCTGTATAAATGAATGCAACAAATATGTCAAATGTGCTATAAATAGACGATACCACGTTCTGTTATTATTCAGATAGCAGTGTAGTTTATGCGTAATGAAGTCCACCCTGATAATAATCCCAATAAATGATAACACATTTAAATCATATAAAAAAAGTAAACTAATTGATTAAATTCTACTCCATGGCCATTACAATATTAAAATCTCAAAATGTACCGTTGTCACTTTCTAATGGACTTTTGCGAGAAGCACTGACTTTTACAGTCGATGACTTACTTTGACATTTAAACCTTTGTTATATACGGAGATACGGAAACCTTACTACTACTATAGGTGTGATGGTAGGGGCACTAACATGCAATTAACAAAAAAGATGATGGAAGGCAAAATAACATAACTTAAAATATCTTATTCGTTAGGGATAGTATTTCCTTTCAATCTCATTTTCTAAAGGTACCAAATAAGGAAGGAAAAAAAATTCCGAAATGAAAACTTGGCAGGAGTTAACCAAGGTGGGAAAGGAAGGGGGTGGAGGACAGGGCAGTTGTCGTTCCCTTCCTAGACAAAATGAAATGGCCCATTATTATCGTTTTATAAACTTTGAAGCTAATTATCTATATCGCAAAATAGCTTCCGCATATTGTCCAGTGTAATCGTAAGCCGTCGAATGTAAAAGGCAGCGCTTGTCGCAGAAGTCCATTGTAAAAATTTACTCAAATTAGAGCCCATTATTTGGCTTGCATATCTTCCAGACCATCGCTGGTCTTTATGCATGAATCAAAAGACGTACGCCATTTGTTTCACACTTCATGCTAATTGCAAATGAACTTTTCCATGCCAATTAATTACTTTTCTTTACTTCAGATAACCATGAATCCAAAGTTGTATTGGCACTGTAAGCCAAACATCGTACGTGTATCATATCAATGATAGAGCCATCAAAAATAGTATATCAGGACTCTTAAGTGCTACTTAAAAGTGTGTTTTTTAATTCACAAGTTTTTAGATACTTCAATCAACTGAGCGTTTTTCAATTATTTAGTGGTTTCGTCGTGAATTCGGTCGAAAAATATTAGTACGCTTTGCGCCACAGTAAAATTTGAAATGATGGAGAACCCATCGTCGCAAACCACGGCCAAAATGTACGATCCTCTCCCATTCTGGCCGTGGTTGTATGAGAAGAGAATATTTCGCAGCTAATTAAAATCTTGACCAATGTACCTTATGTAAAGCATAGTCGGATAATGAACTTTGACGCGACCGTTCAATACCCAATCGCAGTATACGAAACATTTCAATACCCAATCGCAGTATACGAAACATTTCTTGTATACTGTTGAGGTCAATTGTTGATTTCAATTGCGATGGAAACAAATATTGTCATTGGCTGAACATGACGTCACAACATAGAGGCGTAAATATTCAAGATTACGACACTTTTTGTGATCAAGCAGCCACGGGTAGGAGAGAGCTATATGCGGACTCCGGACCGTGGTTTGATACGATGTGGAGAACCCTGTGAGACAAAAACGTGTGGACTCCCCTTTCCATCATGGCGATGTCCAATAAATAGGTCGATGCTTGATTTCACCCGAAAATGTGATTTGTTTTTAAGACAATCCCTTTAGCAGCAAATATTTGATAACAGATTGTGTCTTGTACAATTAATCAAAAAGGATATACGACATTTTTTTTCACTTTAGGTTCCTGTTAGAGTAAATCATATTCCATCTCACTTCACAATAGGTACATAAACAAGGCTATGAAGACATTCGCCAATACATTCCAAAACCAATTCTTTTTGGTATACTAGTAGTTAATAGACTATAATAAAACCTGATATTACATAACATTAAATATTGGCATACTAAGAGATTAAAACGGGAAAAATCAAACATAATATAATTCTCTACAAGGAGCATTTTCATTACCTCAAACACTGCTATAAATAATTTTAAAAAAAGATATGATATCGCCCATTGCTTACTCAAGCTACTAATTATCCAATATAAACCTTAGTTTATCGGTGAAATGCGTGTTATATATCAGGTAAATCTCTAAACAAGGTATGTTCGATGTCCATCAGTCTTAAAATATAAGTGGACAAATACAGTAATTTTCTAAGAATAGATATATATGTTTGTACGAATGGTTTTTTTAAAACTATTTCTTACATTTCAGAAAAGGACTACACGACATGGAGTCAGAAATAGGTGTACGCTCAGGTTCAGGTGAATATATGTGCCGATTGTAGACAACCTTCTGTGTGTACGTGCTCTATATGTAACACTAAAATGTGTAGAAAACACATGAATACCCACATGGATACTGTTCATATGCTATCAGTGAACGACTCTGACAATACAAAATGTTCTCTACATTTGGGAAACTCGCTAAAATGTTTCTGTAGAAGTTGTTGTCTGCCCCTGTGTGATAAATGTGTGATAGACGGAGGCCATGTTGCCCATGAAAGAAGTGAACTAGAGGCAGTCTTAGAATTCTTCAAGGGAGCAATATCAAATGAAAACAGAGAATTAATCAATTACATAAAACCATTTTACCAAAAGGTTTTGAACACCACAGAAGAACAGTTAAGAGAATTAACGCATATCTACGAAAAGGTGAAACATGCTGTTCAAAATTTTGGAGAAAATTTGCGCAGGGAAATTGATATTGCTGTAAAAAATTTGCGTACTTTCCTGGACGAGAAAGAAATGAAAGATAAGAAAGACTTACAAAATCAAAAGGAAAATTACTCAGAAAAATTGAATAAAATAGCTGAAACTATTTCGCAAAATGAAAAGTTACTTGGCTCTAAAAATGCTGAAGAAGTACTGAATTTTAGATCTAGCGTTGCATACTTTCATTCGTATCCTAGTCAAGTGAAACTGGATTTTCCCTGCTTCATACCAAATATGAAGAATCCAGAAATTAAAGAAAAAATTTTGGCACTTTTGGGGAAAATTTTGTGCACTTCTGATAAAAGCGTTACCCCTGATCTAAAAATCGACAACACTCAAAGGATGAAATTGCAACTGCTGGAGCAGCCAGGTGTTTTAAAAGTCCTTAAAACTAGATTTTACCCCGATTCCCTAGATCATAAATTATACACTTTGTCTTGTATAAACTCAGAAACAGTTCTAGTCGGTGGCAACGACTATGTGCTTTTGGAAAGAACACTATACTACAATGATTCACGGCATTCTCAACCCGTTGAAATCACTTATAAAGGATTTTATTTTGCCTTGTCTTCCGATGGTGTGATATTTTACTCAGATAAAGAAGACAAGTCTGTGAAAACAATAAAAAATCGTATATCTAATAAAATTTCCACGTTCCTGAAATTTGATTCATGGATACCAAGAGGTTTAACCATGACCCCCTATGACCACCTACTCATTTGCCTGTATAGAAGAAAGCAGTCCAAGGTGGCACAGTATACTCAAGCTGGAAAAATTGTACAGGAAATCCAATACAGCAATCAAAAACTTTTATATGAGCATCCCATGTTTATCTGTTGCAACAAAAATGGTGACATTTGCACAGCGGACTATGAGAAACGAGAAGTTATTGTTGTGGATCAGTTTGGCGTCTTTCAGTTTTCTTATGATGGCAACACACTAACAGGAAATGTAAATACCTTTACTCCAAGCAATATGGCTACAGATCATCTGTGCAATATTGCAATCACCGATTTCGAAAACCACAAGATCCATCTTTTGGATAAATACGGACAATTTCTTCGATTTCTAAATCCAGATGTGGGAATCAGCCATCCTAGAGCTATTGCCATTGACAAGGATGGGAAAATGTGGCTTGGGGAGGGGAAAAGCGGAAAAATTAAAGTCCTACATTATTTGAAATAAGCACATGTATATACATGTACTGAATTACTACATACCATTTAAAATAGTTCATTTTGAAATGTTACGCTTAAATACGAAAAAAATGAAAGACGAAAAATTCAGTATGTAAGAGAAAAGGATACAACTATTATTATTGATTTTATACACTGGAATAAAACGCTGTCTCATTTTGCTGTAATATTGCAAAAAATTTCAACATATTTCATGTACACATAAGCGTGTTTTACATTACATCGCTACGTCTTTTTAGGTACTTGTATGCTGTAAATAAGGCATCTTTTAGGTTGGTTATTTACATTTCAAAGGTACAAGAATGTGCTGATTTATGTTCTGAAGACTAGTGGGAGATTTGACAGGTTATCATCAATTTAAGCTGTTAAAAATTCTAAAGTTAGCTACGTTATTGTACAGTTCTCCATGTTTTATGTATGCATGGAATTTCATGAATGCATCTTCCAAACATACAATTTTCTTCAACCTGTGTATTAAGGTTGAAAAGGCTGGAAATCGTCACTTGTGCCACATTTCTTCCACTAAGTTCAACTTCAATTATGAATATTTGTGAAACAAGTCAAGTTTGAATTCTCGTCAAGGTCACTTTATTTTTTTCACATTTTTGTCACAGGACAGCCATGAAATGGTGGGGTACTTTTCAACTGCCTAATAAAAAAATTGTGCTGTAAGAAATAAATATTGAAATGTTATTGTAGAAAAATTGTTTTTTATGAAATTGCATCAAGAAAGTAAATAATAATATCTATGAAATAGTGTGTAGAATTTTATCTATAGTTTCATTTTTGCAATTTCATTCAAACAAGAAATGTTTGGGAACATATACACGTATGCCCGTGTGTGGCAATATGAAAAGGGGGAACAACTTGAAATTTATCTTTCTTTTATGATAGTGAAAAGTTAATTGTTATCAACTACATGTAGTTAGGGGGCAAACATAATGCTAAGTTTGATCTCTTTCACACCTAATGCTGATTTGATGCATGTCAAGGAAAAGATTTTGAGCGGTCGATTTCTTACCATGTCCATATAAAAATTAATAGGGACCATCTATTAATTTCTTCAGGGAAACAATAAAAATTTGTGAGCAGGACATAAGACACGGACCCTGGAAATTCCAGAGGTGGGGTCAGGTGCCGAAGAAGAGTAAGTATCTCCTGTCGATCGATCACACCCGCCGTATTGTTCGGGTAGACGTAATAATTTGTAGTCAAAATCGGACGCACAACAGTTGGTATATGTCAGTGATAGGTTGTATTTGCTTTCAAGGTCATTGTGACGACCATAGCATTTACAAAATAATGACTGTAAACGAGATTTGTTGAATCCCTGTAACATCAACTTATTTGTCAGTAGGCTGTCTGGGTTTAAAATCTGATCGTCCTCAGAGCAGGCTTTTGAGTATGTAATAAGTTGGGAGACATTAACATTAAAAACCATATGCAAGTGATAGTGGAATATTACTACATATATAAGGAATTCAAAGTTGACGATGACAAAGCTGAAGTCATCTTGTTTGCCATACAGTTTAGTTATGGAAAATCTATAGCAAAGTTTGTGGTGTCCTTTTTATGAGTTCACTGGGATATATCGAGTTTATATATGAATGGAAGTAGTTACTGTTAGTTGATAAAACGTCGTCGAAGTATCTGAAGGCCATAGTGTGTTTTCTTCTCATGTTGAAGTTTTTGAGTAAATTCTGCTTCATAGGAATATAAAAACAGGTTGGCTAATTAAGGAGCACAACTCCATTGAAATTTTTTCAGATTTTTGGATGACCTAATCTCCAAATTGTTGACATGCATATGATTATAATGAGCAATAAGCCTTTATCAAATTTTAAAAATTCGTAAGTTCAGACTAAGATTTTCATACATTTACGTTGAAATGTTCATCTAGTTCATTTTCAACATAAGGTATACCTAACATATTTCCCCAGAAAAAAAATATTCAAAGACAATGAAGTTTCTGAGAACAGAAATTATTGCTGTTTACTTACGTTGGGAAGATACATGCAGATATTTCATTCAATTACTTCACCTTGGTCTAATATAATGTCAAGAATACGTTTACCTACTACACATTGTGAATTTCACTGTAGATTCCAGTTTATACTATCTTGTCTCTAAGGGCAGATCACTATAACTGCATAAAATTACCCAGGAATTAGTACTCTTCAGTAAACAGTTTTATCATATTGATTATGGTAAGTATTAAAGATATGTTCCTACTCCAATGATGTCATCATTACTAGTACTACTTTACACTGAATTTAAAATATATAATGACCATTATAAGAGAATTATAAATATAATTTAGACCTTGTTTTATTGAAATTGCATTAGTAGCAGCTCAGTGAGCATTTGATTGCATGTCTGAAAAAGGTTTTGAGTTCAACCAAATTTACAATAAACAAGAGATGTTTGTGAAACACTTATGCCCCCCCCCCCCTTCCAATAATTGGAATTTTTCTGAGTCCAAGGGCCATAACTCTGTCAAAAATGGTTCGATCGTACCCAAAACACAACTTGACCTAGACATTTTTATGATAAATCTGTACACCAAATTTAATTTCAGTATGTGCAACCTATGCAAAGAAAATGAGGGAAAAAGCCTTTGAAGTACTACATTTTATAGCCTTTTAAATGCATGATATAAATCTAATATTCTTAAAGAAAAATAAGATAGATAACCACTTAATTATGAAAATATGCCCGGAAATGTCTAATGTTTAAATAATTTTAATTTGGCTGTTTGGTATTTTTAGCCTCCAATTTTCATTTTTGTCAATGAAACAAATATTTTAAATTTCTAACATAATACCTGAAAAATAAATTTGAAACTTAATTTTCTTTAATATTGTACATGTAATGAGAGATTGAGAGCTGTGGACTACTAGTATTTATATTGATTGTAATCGTGTGATGAAAAAAGGAATAATTGTCTTCCGGAGATTCTAGTCAGAAAAGTAACTAATAAATAGATGGGGGGGGGGGGGCTTTGTAATAAAAAATACACCGGGGGGGGGGTGTCTGTAATTAGATGTTATTCTAATGATTCCGAAAAAGGAAACGCCACACTAACCTAAAAATGTGAAGCAGAGACACACCTTAATCTAAAATTATGAATTCATGGCCCCAGACACATGGTTCTATGGCGGGGCTAAGGTTTGTCATATTTTGAAAATACATCTTCAAAAATCTTCTCTTTTAATCATGGAAATTTAGCAGCAAAGTGTTTGCATGATTACAGTAAATACTTAACCCTTTACCAAAATTGTAAAATTCGCGCTTCCTGGGTCTAACACCACAGCCTCAAGGTGGTGCTGAATAAATCATTAATCTTCTTCTATAGTGATTGAAATTTAACATGATTTTAACATGTTTCAAAATTATGGAATTCAGAGCAGGCTATTAATTCAAGTTCTAGAATGCGAAGTTGGCGTTATATTGGAAATACATCACACGTTTCAGATTCCAGGATAGGGTTAAGTTGGTCCTATATTGAAAATATGTTACACCTTTGAAAATCTAGCTGTCAAAGTATTGCATAACAATAACTAATTCTTTGCCCTCTACCAAAATTCATGACCCTTGGCTTATGTCCTAAGTGGGGTTAAGTGTCATATATTGGAATACTTACAAGTACATTGCATCTTTGAAAAGCTTCTTCATGGACATCATGTAGCATGCAAATTATAATTATTTACATGATTATAATTAACAGCAAGTCCTCTTGTACTAAATATAAAATTAATGTCCTCCTAGTCCAAAAATCAGGCCCGAAGATTGGACTCAGTTTGTTCGTTATTGAAAGTGTTATCTTTCATTATCTTCTTTACCCAGTGACTACACTTCTACGAGATTCAGCAATTTTATGCGTGAAGTTAAAACAAATTTTTGGAAGAAAAATATACTCTCTTTTCTGTGACCGAATCTTTGTCAAGTAATACACACTTTATGGTACAGCCTTTATGTTAAATATTAGCTTCCAATTGCTCCTCAGAACACTATCACCGTTCACGCGGTAGCTCAGTCGGTAGAGCGCTCACTCCGTGATCGGGAGGTCCTGAGTTCGAATCCTGGCCGCGACTGACCTAAGTCGATAAAAAATGGGTAGCAACTCTTCCTTCTTCCTTCGCCATGCGCTCGGCACTTTAAAGTGAAAGTTGCGGGTTCTTCGAATGAGACCTTAAAAACTGAGGCCCCGTGTCACGGCAGGCGTTGGCTCGATAAAGAACCCTCACTGCTCAATGGCCCCGAGGGCCGAGTAAAGGTCAAAATATGAAGCCCTTCGCCGGTATATGGTGACGTCTCTATCTGAGTGAAAAATTCTCAAATGGGACGTAAAACAACATACAATCAATCAATCAGTCATTACACTATCGTGGACCAGGAGTAAACTTAACCTTTTCAATACCTCTAACTTTGAAACTTTGTCTATTTTGGTCCGCGACTGTGCCTTACGTCTCTTAAATAATATTTTTAATATATATTTAGATATAGCTAATATTTTAAGAAGTAAAAGAGATCAAGTACAAATATAAATATACTTTTATACTTCTGTACTCTGTATGATTTTCCCACTTTCCTAGTCTGTGATACGAAAAGATTTTTATACTCGTATTTCGGTCAACGTCCCAATCGTCAATAAAATTCTCATATTTTTCTCAGGTCAGTTCTTATAGCTTCCTAAAAACAATTCTGGGCCACGGTTTATAGTCTATGAAATGTTTCAAAGCTGCATCTTAAACGCAATCCTCTTTTTCCTGCAGAAATCAATCTCTATTCTTAACACATTCATAAATATTGAATGTATATATTCAAGAGTGCATACATTTCCTAATAATTTATTTTAGACAGAGATGTTGATAAATCACATTGATCTAGATTGATACACCTAAGTACATTTCAAATCGTTGATTATCAGTGAAGATTTCATATCGGGATCACATTACACGGACTTTGTTATTCAGATTCGTCCAGTCATCTGATGAGGGTATGTACAGATGATTGCAGTAAATGGAAGTCAAATAAACCAATCTAACTTGCCGTAAGAATTGAAATTACTGATACACTTTTATATTCTGAAAAAGGGATAACTAAAATATGAGCAGGAATATAGGATTAGGGGCGCAGACTGCCATGAACATTTGCGCCGATTGTAACGAGCCCTCTGTGTGTACATGTTCTTTGTGTGACAGCAAAATGTGCAGAAAACACATGATTACCCACATGGACACAGTTCATTCGTTAACTGATAATGATTCAGACAAAACAAAATGCTCTGTTCATTCCAAAAACTTCCTGAAAACTTTCTGTAGAACTTGTCGTCTGCCACTTTGTGATAACTGTGTGACAGACGGTGGCCATGTTGCCCATGAAAAAAGTGACCTCGACGCCATCTTGGAATATTTCAACGAAGCCATTTGCAATGAAAGCCAAGAGTTAGTAAATCACATAAGGCCTTTTTATCAAAAGATACTCGACATTACAAAGGAAAGGAAAAATGGAGTCCCGCATAACTATAAGAAAGTGAAGCATGACATCAAACAGTTAGGGGAATTCTTGCATAAAGAAATTGATAGTGCAGTAATGACTTTGCATGCTGAATTAGATGAGAAAGAAAAGATCGAAAAGGAACAGCTAAAGGAGCAGGAAGATGTTTATTCAGAAAGAATTAAAAAATTAGATGAAACTGTTGTACAAAACAGGCAGTTAATGAGTTCCAACAATCCAATCGAATTAACGAAATTTAGCTCAAGCCTTGCTTATTTCCATGTAAATCCAAGTCAAGTTAAAGTAGAGTCGCCTAGATTCTCTCCTATAACAAACAGAAATGAAATTAAAGAGAAGATATTGGAACTTTTTGGAGAGGTTGTGTTCGATGTATCCGACAACCTTGTGTCTGATTTAAAAGTGGAGAACGCAAGTGCAACAAAAGTGCAGCTTCTGGAGCAACCAGGAGTTTTAGAGGTTCTTAAAATCGATTTTCCTCCTGACGCAAATAAAAATAAATTGTATAATTTATGTTGTATAAATCCAGAGAAAATTTTGGTCGGTGGGAATGATAATTTTCTTCACGTAAGAGCATTCTCACCAAATGAGTATGATAACCACAAAGAGTTCCAGAAAGTCAAAATAACATGCGAAGGGGTCTACTTTGTTCTCGCGTCAAATGGCGTGCTCTTTTATACAGGTAAAATTGACAGGACCGTGAAAAGATTAAAAAGCCTTAGTTCTACAGGAATTGCTACTTTTCTGCAATTTGAAAAATGGGAACCAAGAGGACTAGCAATGACTTCTTCGGACCACCTACTTGTGTGTCTTTATAAGAGGAAGCAGTCCAAAGTAGCAAGGTACAATCAGACTGGAAAGATCGTTCAGGAAATTCAATACCACAACGAAAAGCTCTTGTTCGAAAATCCTATGTTCATCTGCTGTAACAAAAATGGGGACATTTGCACAGCAGATAACGACAAACACGCCATTATTGTCGTTAATCAATTTGGCGTCTTTCAATTTTCTTACGATGGACGCAGTGTACTAGAGAAGGGTAAAATTTTTCGTCCATGCAATATGGCAACAGATCACTTGTGCAATATTATAGTAACGGATTTTGAAAACCACAAAATCCATCTTCTTGATAAATATGGACAATTTATTCGCTCTCTGGACCCTGATGCAGGGATCAGTCGCCCTAGAGCCATTTCTATAGATAAGGATGGGAAATTATGGTTTGGAGAATGCTTCAGCGGGAAAGTCAAAGTCGTGCAATATCTTAAATGAATAATTTATGTTATAGAGGGATGTGTTCGATTAGACTGACAAATGATGTTCTTCTTTTTTTTTTTTTAAGTGTTCGCATTTTTTTCTTTTCAGATTAAAAAGATCTCTCTGATTTGAAAGTGAGTTTGTACAGCTCAATATATAATAAGACAGAAGTGAAAGGTTTCATTTAAAACGATCTAAAAATTTATGAACATTCACAAACATGCTATCAATATCTGTATCAAAATTTACCCTACAAGGTACATTCTATGGGCATTTGTTGAATTAAACAAATCATAATTGATTCATATTTTTAAGCACACAATAAAAAAGGATTAATTTCATTTGAAGTGGCGAATTCAACCATTACAGGCTGTCCAGAGACCTTAAATTCCTCAAACATACCCTTTATAGTTTTGATAAAATTCCTTTTAAAAAAATTTTGAAACCAAGGGGAAATCCTTATTAAAAAAACCCCATAATTTTCATGTCAATTATGTCCTTCCTTTCTTTCTTTTTTTTTTTTTTTTTACATTTCTACTCTAGCAGTTTCAAAAATGCATTCATTTAAATGAAAAAGGTGAAGATAACGAACAGTGATTGATCTCAATAAAAGCTATACACAACACAAATCTGTGAACAGGGCCTAAAACATGGACCCATGGAAATTCCAGAGGTAGGATCGGGTGCCTAGGAGGAGTAACTATCCCCTATCGACTGGCCACAACCCCTTTGAGCCCTACATTGTATATATTGATCAGGTAGACGGAATGATCTGTAGTCAAATTTAGTAAGAAAGCAAAGGACTAACAATTGGTATGAAATATGTCAGTCAAAATACGATCCAATGATATGATATTTTTGCTAACAAGGTCGTTATAACGACTATAGAATATACGGCATGCTGACCTTAAAAGAGGTTGTTGAAATCCCTGTAACTTCAGCTTATCTGTCAGTAGCCTGCCTCGGTTTAAATAAAAATTGATCATGCTCAGAGCATGCTTTTGAGTATCTAATAAGTTGAGTATTGAATAGGTTGGGAGATGTAAACATCATATGCAGGTAATAAAGGAATATTACTACTTTAATGAGGAAAGTTGACTATGGAAAAGTTGAAGTCATATCTCATTTGTCATACAGTTTAGTTGTTAGTTGGTCCTCATCGTCCATCCAAATGTGAAACAGCTGACTCTGTGGTGTCTTTTATTTCAGAATGTGTTTTAATACAGTTTGCAGTTCTTATTCAGTAATAAAATAAAATGACCCTGAGTGCCGAGTAAAAGCCTTGACAAGTGGTGTCGTCTCATATGAGTGAATTAACCTTACAAAGGACGTAAAACCACAACAATCAATCAATTTAATGCTTGAAATGACTTTCAGAATGCAGAGGAACAACCCAAAATGGTACCTTTCCCCAATTTATTTTTTCTGGCTTCTAGGAGGGGACACTCTCCGAAACCCTCCCCGCACCCCTTTTTCAAAAACCTGGTGACATCCCTGTTCAGATTATGCAGTAAAAGGCATTTGACCAATGTCAAAAATGCCCCTCCTTTACTTTAGTTATTTTTGTGATTTTCTTTGTCAAATTTGCAAAAGAAGGTTCATTTACATGTTAAAACAATACCCGAACATAAACAGAATATTCCTTATTTTTGCCCTAAAATTTTGTTCCTAAAATTTGCCCTAATTTTTTGTCAAAGAGTGCTGGAGAGCCTGCCATTATCATAAAATTTTAATTAGTCATTTGGAAGAGCTATGATATGACAACATTGTTATTTATCAAAATACCAACAATCACGAGATAATAGTCATACGATTATATTCTCACTGTATTGTATCTATAACTTCCTCATTACATTACAGATCTGTTAAGATAAAACTGTATTTATCATATCAAGTAGATATATATGTATAGCTCAAGAGATAATGCATTGCTACCTCGCTGAACGTTGACAAATACATTGGTGCGTATTGTAAATATGTAACTAAGATAGAGGAAGGACTAACTATAAAATCTTTATTTTCGGAGGATGATGGAAAAAGTACAATTCGTGGTGATTTTATTTTGTGATTGAAGAAGAAACACGTCTGTAGTTTAAAATTTCAGCATTTCGTGGAGGACAATCCGTGGGTCTCGTCATACCACGACAGTAACGAAAATTAAATCCCCACGATATATATCAATTTCACAATTAATGAATTAAAAGTAACTAAAAATATATTTTTGCCTTCAGTTTTTCCCCCAAAAATGCACTTCTGTCAGCAGTGTAAAATAAATCTATTGTTGACCTTATTGTGTATTTAAGGTCAAGATCTAGTAAACGAAGAGTGCCTACAGATTTCTCAAACTTCAGAAACAAATTCCTTTAATAATCTATTACAATCGTAGCTAAAAAAAAAATTGAGGTGTATCGGGGCATAATTTTTAGATAAACAGAACGAAAAAAATAACATATTTTAAACTGCCCTTTTCAATGAAAGATGAAGAAAATTAGGAATAAAAATGGGAGTTTTTTCTATCTCAGACAAACAAAATGTATCAATATTGCCCACAGTCTCTCAGTAAACGGTTTTTCATATCTTCTTGACCTCTTCTTTAAAATGATATTAAATTGAATATAGGTATCGGGGTTCCTTTTGAAATGATTTCAAATTAAATTCCATGAAAATGTGTCATTTTCTACTTCATTCTGTTATAGCCGTAAAATACGGGGAAAAAATAAGATTAAGGTCAAGATCTAGTAAATGAAAGGAGCCTACAGATTTCTAAAATTTGAGAAATAAATTCCTTTAAAGATGCTTTTTAAGTATAGCTAAGTCAAATAAGGTGTATCGGGGCAAATTTTGTAGGTAAACAAGGTGAAAAACCATATTTTAAACTGTCTTTTTTTATGAAAAATTAATAAAATCAGTCATGAATATGGGAGTTTTTTTCTTATTGGACAAAGGAAATGTATCCAGATTGCCTACAGTCTCGCAGAAAACGGTAATTTGTTTGTTCTTATCCTCTTCTTTAAATTAATATCAAAATAAATATAGGTTTCGGGATTAATTTTCACATGATTTCAAATTGAGTTCCATGAAAAAACTTTATTTTCTACATAATTCTATTAGAGCCGTAAAGTACGGGAAAAAGAAAGTTTAAATTGATTATGACGTCATAATGGATCTAGCACTAACAAGACAGTCTAAAGTCATTTACTAGATCTTGACCTTAAATCAATTATGTCGTCATAATGGATCTAGCACCAAAAGACAGACTAAACTAATTTACTAGATCTTGACCTTAAAGCAGCCGCGAGGATATAGTAAAAAGAGAATGGGTCGCGTCAAACATAGGTAGTGACTGTTCCTTCGCCAAGCGCCCGGCATTAGAAGTATAAGTCACGGACCTTAAATACGGTAGGCGTTGGCACGATAATAATCCCTCACTGTACAATGACCCTGGGGTCTGTGTAACACTTAACAATTCAAGTTTTTAAAATGATTTAGAGTTACATGGACCCCCTGGAGTACTGAGTATATGCATGTAGATCTAAATTTGATGCTCTTCACCGCTATATGGTGACGTCTCTATATGAGTGAAAAATTCTCAAATGGGACGTAAAACAGCATACAATCAATCAATCAATTTGTTGTGTTTGCAATACTCTCATCAAAGGATCTGCATACAAACTCGTTGGATGAAAATGACACCTCACCACAAAACATGACAGATTCTACAAACATGTACCTCAATAAATGTTCAACAATATACAAATATATGAACGTAAATTTGAACCCATTCTGATCAAGGGTTCCCCAGCAATGATCCTTGTGACAGACATCTATAACAAAACCAACTGACCTCATCTCATTGGGGGAGATATAACAAAAGGCCCATGGGCCACAACCCTCACCTTATTTACTATGGCCCTTCTTGAGCAGCATTCTTTTTTCTATATATTCCCAAGTAAAACTTGATCACCAATTGTAGCCCCACCCTACCACAGGGGACATGATTTGAACTAGCTTGAATCCACACTATTTGGAAAATCAATGCTTCCATATAAATATGACTAATTGTGTCTTTTCTGTTCCGCGGGAAAAGATTTTTTTACGTATTTATCTGTAAAACTTTGATCGCCCATCGTTGCACCATCCTACCTCCAGGGTCATCATTTGAACAACTTGAATATACACTACCTGTGGATGCTTCCATATAAATATGATAAATCGTGGCTTTGTTGTTCCTCCTCAGAAGAGTTAATACAGATTTACCCTATATATATATATATATATATATATATATATATATATAAAGCACATTTTACAACAACTCTTAAACTAACATAACTGCCCTAAGTGAAGGAATATTAATATAGAAAGCACAAAGAAATTCACTTTTACAAGGATACCCACTTCCGCCCCAGCCCGGGGTTGAACTCTCGACCTACGGAATCTGTCTCCTAGCAGTACAGGAACAGCGCGCTAGACCGCTCGGCTATCTAGGCAAGTCAAAAAAACTTGCCTTCGATGCCGATGGAATTCTCGCGGCGCTGTCCTACACTACACGGTCATTGAGAATGAAAGAGAGATACAGTTATTTGGATATACATATAAAACTAATGTCCAAATAACTGTATCTCACTTTCATTCTCAATGACCGTGTAGTGTAGGACAGCGCCGCGAGAATTCCATCGGCATCGAAAGCAAGTTTTTTGACTTGCCTAGATAGCCGAGCGGTCTAGCGCGCTGTTCCTGTACTGCTAGGAGACAGATTCCGTAGGTCGAGAGTTCAACCCCGGGCTGGGGCGGAAGTGGGTATCCTTGTAAAAGTGAATTTCTTTGTGCTTTCTATATATATATATATATATATACATATATATATATATATATCCAAAAAATGAAAAGAAATATCACAGTGTCCGGTAATTAATATGAAAATAAAAAATAACAAGGCAACAATGTTAGTAAAACGTAAGCGCTTTCATTACTTCTTCAGACGTTTTACAATTCAAAACAATTCAAACATGTGACGTTATAACGCTACCTGATGTATATATATATATTTGTATGTAAAACTTCAAATTGCCCATAGTTGCCCCACCCTATCCCGGGGGTCATGATTTGAACAAATCTGAACGTACACTACCTGTGGATGTATAAATATGATTGATCATGGCTTAGCTGTTCTTCGTCATCAGATTTTTTTAAAGATTTCTCCTACGTATTCCTATGGAAAACTTTGATAGTCATTGTAGCCCCATTCTACACCAAACTTAAATCTACAGTACCTGAGGATGCTTCCATATGAATATGATTAATCGTGGCTTTCCTATTCTTGAGAAGAAGATAATGCATTTATTTAATATGAATTATGAATTGAAAAATATGAATTATTCGTTAATTCCGCTAGACATCATCAATGTCTAAAATTGTTTGAAAATCGTTTTATGGTTAATCCAATTTGTAATAATTTCATTTCATGACTATCAGTTGGATACTGTTCATCATTGGCCATGCAATGTAGACATAGCCCGAATCTTACAAGTGTCACTGCAGGCACTGCTCCACTCTGTCAATAACCAATGCAGGCATTGACAAACTCTTTAAAGGGCCAATGTAGGCACTAAGAGACCTGTCTCAACAGCCAATGCAGGTATTGCTTAATTATCTCAAAAGCCAATGCAGACATTCTGAGACTCTCTAAGGAGGCAATGCAATCGACTGCTCTATTGTTTCAAGAACCAATGCAGGCCACGGAAGACTTTCCGTACAGATAATGCAGGTACTGCATTCCTTTCAAACATTGTAGGAATAAATCTTTGGAAGAATGCTTTTCAATAGGTGTAACGAAAAATATTGTTTATTGAAAGAATTTTAAAATTAAATATTTTCGGCAATAACTCTTCCTCATTTAATATTTAAAAATTGGTGCTAAGGCAATAACTCCTCTTCATTCAGGCGTTTTCTTGATTGTACTTCTAATGTCAAATGGTTTCCCCGATATTCATAATTCATGCATATTTATAAAGTACCAATCATTTTTTAAAGTTTTTACATAATTTTAATAATACTGTTTACAAAAAACATACGATTTTTTATGCCGACATATACCTCTGTTTATTTTATATCTGACATCTTAAAAAATATGGCAACCTACACATTTTTGTGATTATTAATTTAGGCCATATTTAGTTAAAAAAAAAGAGCACTTTTTCTATTTTGAACCCATAAAATTGTGAGGGTGTAATTACCTTAACCTTGTTTATACTGAAACATGTATGTATGACGAAGCTAATAAAATTACGTTATTTTCTGGCTAGGACCAAAACATCCCTGGCACGGAAAACCAAAATATGGCAAACAAAATTTGTGATAATTTTAAACATGTTAAAAGAACCTTAACTGTTTTCATCAGAAATTCAACTTTATGATTTTAGAATCTAAAATGTCAAAGATCATGGCCAGTTTCAAGTGACCGGAAGTTATGCTGACTTGAATTGTCAACAGTCAAGACGCTCTTGAAGATCGTGATGATTTCGCATCTGAGAAATCTGAATTTACAGTTGTCGAAAAATTATTTGTGTTCATTTGCGGAATAAGGCTCTTCCATAAATTTTATCATTAATTCAATTCAGATTTTAGAGTCTATTGGTCATTATCAGACATTGATAAGTTTTGATAATAGACTGGACACAAATATGCCCCTATATACTAGGGTCAGTGGGGTAAACGCTACATCATTTTTAGCTCTACTGTTCAGAGATCAGAAGAGCTTATGCGATAGTAAGGTGTCCGTCGTCCGTCCGTCTAGCTGTCTGTCTGTAAACATTTTTTTAAAATGCTACTCCTCCTACAGTTTTGGTCTGATTTCAATATAACTTGGCACACAAGTAGACTACACTAAAATACATAATTCTGTGTATTGGTTTTTGATTTCGGTGAACGGTGTTGCCATGGTTACTAAAAATAGAAATTTCTGTGAAATACATTCAAAATGCTATTCTTCCTACAGTTTTGGTCTGATTTCAATATAACTTGGCACACAAGTAGACTACACTAAGATACATTATTCTGTGTATCGGTTTTTGATTTCGATGAACTGTGTTGCCATGGTTACTAAAAATAGAAATTTCTGTGAAATACATTCAAAATGCTACTCCTCCTACAGTTTTGGTCTGATTTCAATATAACTTGGCACAAAAGTAGACTACGCTAAGATACATAATTCTGTGTATCGGTTTTTGATTTCGCGTTGCCATGGTTTCTAAACATAGAAATTTCTGTGAAATACACTCAAAATGCTACTTCTCCTACAGTTTTGGCCTGCTTTCAATATAACTTGGCACACAAGCAGATTACACTGAGATACATAATTCTGTGTATCATTTTTTTGGTTTTGATAAAGTGTTGCCATGGTTACTAAAAAATTGAATTTCTTTGATATACTTTCAAAACATTACTTTGCTTACAGTTTTGGTCTGATTTTAATATAACATGGCATGCAAGTAGACTACACTAAGATACACACTTGTCTTAATTGTTTTTTTTTTTATTTTGATGAATAATGTTGCCATGGTAACTAAAATCAAAATTTCTCTAAAATTCTTTTAAATGGCTACTCCTTCTACAGTTTTAGTCTTATTGCAATTCATCTTGCCACAAAAAGAGAGTAAAACAAGGATTACTATTTATCTATTGCTGTTGCAAAGTTTCAAGTCCAAGTGCTACTTTTCTCTTCCTTAATTGTTACAAGTACAAACCAGTAGAGCTGCAGTCTTGACAGAGACTTCTGGTTTCAATAAAGTCTCATTTTTATTGGGGGCTGGGGGGATTATACATTTTTAAAACGTCAGCGATGTTAGAAGCCATTTTTATTCATTTCCAGCCTCATGGTCTCTTAGCTCTGTTTTAAAAAATACATTCAAAGAAAAACAAATTAGAGAGTTGTTCAATGTTTAATAAATAGCTGTACATATATTACATTCAATGCAAAATAGTTGATAATTTTTTCTTTGAACACAAAGTACTGCCTATAAAGCAGACCTCCAATTTTTTGTGTAATAAGTTCCAGTTACCAAAAGTACATATATTTTCAATGAATACTTTCTTCTTTTGTGTAAGTTGAAAGGAAACGGAATGTTACATTTAAAATAAAAAATTAAGGAATGGTAACAATTGTATAGCAGTATCATATACAACTTTTCTTCTCTCATACACAATACCCGTCAAGTGAGAGTAATTTATTTTTACAACATGTACATGTATAAGCATACATGATATTTATTTTAGAACACTTAAAAGCACGGTGGGACTTCGGAAGAAATTATAAACATTTCAAAGCAGGCTCGCAATATAATTATCAGTTTTCCATTTGTAACAGTTTGAAATATAATGCCACTTTTATATGCATTGCATGATTCAAAAGCATGCTGAATTTTCTAAAGAATCTTTAATACATGTATCTAAATGCTGGAATATATAAAATACAAAAGCTTTAAATAAAGTATGGGTTATTTCCCTTGGATAACAAATTTTACCAAATACAATGTGATAACCACAATTCGCCTGTTTTGAGAACAAGTGGCTTCAATAAGAAATGGTCACAACATAATATTTATAGCAATATGAAGCGGGAATACGTGTATATCTGAAGATTTCCACATGACAACTTTCTTTAAAAAAGATAACATAAAACATGAATCTGTATTTCTGGGCTTTTTTTTTTAAAGTGCATGTAAATAATAAATTTGGCATTCTTATACCTCTATTGTAAAAATCCCTTCATAGGGAAAGGTGATGAGAAAATTGACAAAACCATGTGTTTGCTTAAAACCTTGTCCGTACTTGACACAAAAGCTGATAAATGAGCAAATTAGGAACAATTTTTGAGTCTCACATGTATTTGGTAAATATTATATTACTTTTAAAAAAGTAGAATAATTTTGACCAATATCATTTTCTCAAGAAACAGTAGACACTTACAGTTAAAACGAAAATACCAATGATAATTCATTAACCTAACTGAAGCCCAAAACACATTCTCACAAGGGCCGACACATATGGTAAAATTCTGAAGCATTTACCATTAGCTGTGTGCAAGATTTACTAACTCTATTATAAAATTTTATCTGCTTTGCATCAAATTTCAAAATTACCATAAGAATGCTAAAAATATCATTGTCCTTTCATTTTTTTTTTTAAAAAAAAGAAGAAATTCTAAACACAGCCATGATTTATTCCATTTAATTTTCTCACTCCTCTTCCCTATAAAATCGCTTATTTTTGTCACAAAACTTTGTGCTCTTGACTTTCACTAAAACAATTTATTTATTCAGGTGCACTTATTTTATAAAAGCGTGTTCCATGAAAAGAAAAATTAATAGAAAAATTAAATTCAAATAGATCAATGAATTTTCTTTGCTTGCCTACTGGCAAGTGCATCTGGAATATTTAACTTACCCATTTGCCCAGCTGTAAAACTACATAATTTGTCAGCCCTTGCTATCTTAAATTTTCAATAACATCACCTTAACACTTAATTTCTCCCTCTCCTCCATTCTAATGTATACATTAAAATTATTGCACTCAGATTTTTGGAACTAAGATGTTTTTTATTAGGTGTTAAAGCTGTTTTGGAATTTACTGCAGGTATTTGTAGATTTTGAAGCAGTGGTTTCCAGAATCAGCCACAGCAACGTACCCCTCACTTGTCACAGCTAAACCCTGTGGTCCATACAGAGGATCTGCTGCAGTGTTCACAAATGACAGGAAGGACCCATTACTGTCAAAGACCTGTCAATGTATGTAAAATTCCAATCAAGTACATACCAATCTCTTTGAATAAAACTTTTATCCACTGACAAAAATTCACAGGCAAACACAAGACATGGTCATATCTTTTTACTTTTGATTTTTAAGTGATTGATAAAGCTCATTGATTTTTAAGGTCAGACGATACATTCCTCAAATATCTGTTTTGCAATTCTTCGTAATGTATGAAAAATATTCAAAATTTTAATTACCTTCAGATTTCTTGGCATATTTCTTATTGTCTTAAAATAATCGAAACACTAAAAAATGTGATATTGACAAATAAAAAAAAAAGATACAAAGTTTCTGACAATAGAAAGGTACCTGTATTCTGGAGTTGCCCCAGTCAGCCACCAGTATATTTCCTTTCTGATCAACAGCTACCCCTGTTGGTGCATTGAACTGGCCATTGCCTTCACCATTGGAACCAAAGGTAAACAGGAAATTCCCCTCACTGTCAAACACTTTGATGCAGTGGTTGTGGAAATCCGACACAATGATGTCATTGTTGGCATTGATGGCAACATAATGTGGACCAGCAAACTGCCAGTCACGATTGCCTCGAGAACCAAATTTGGAAATGAGCTTTCCATTGGGTTGGAAAATGAAGATGGTGCTACCCTTGTTGTCCACCACAACGATGTGGCCATTCCTGTCCACTGCCACTCCTTTGGGTCCCAGAAGTTTCCCTGTGCCAATCTTGTTCATATACTTTCCTTCTGGGGAAAATACATTGATCCATTTATTGTCATAGTCAGCAACTAGGTAGTTTCCATTGAGAGTTGAGGCAACTCCAGTTGGTCTTTGCATTCTCCCTGCAACTCGGCCTGGGGATCCAAATTTCAGCTTGCAATCTCCATTGGAATTGAAGACTTGAACAGTTTGATTGTTACTATCTGCAACAATGATTTTGTCACTGACAACATGAAGCCCTTGTGGGTTTGTGAACTCTCCTTTGTTTCTGCCCTTCTCTCCAATTCTCATTATCAGATCATCCTCTATAGCATTGCTTCTTCTGTTTGATCCATGTGATCTGGAACTTGGTGGTCTCTTTGTTCCTTTCTGTTTCACATTCAAAGTTCTTGGAATTTTGGAGCTATTAAAATGGTCCATTTCCTCCCCAGCAAGAATGGCCTTGACTTTAAATGGTGACCCTTTTATGTGATGGCCATAAAGTTTGATTGCCAAGGAATAAGTGCCCACTTTTTCTACAGTGTATGTGACTTCATAAGAGCCATTTTGTTTGTCCATCACAAATGGATTAATTACCATGTCATCTTCATCTCTGATTTCTGCTGATAGTGAGGCATACCCTACCTTGACTAGTTCTCCTTTTCTGTCTTTGGATATCACAGTTACAGTTGTAGCTTTACCTGAATGACACATCTTCAGTCCTTCTCCTGATGCAGTGGTCTCAAAAGCTACAGCACTATTAGTCTGAACAGCACCAACACTTGACAGGGACTTCCTCAGGGTCTGAAAGTGAGTATGATCAAAGACTAGACATTCATTTTCTTCTGGCTGATACTGCAGCTTCAAAGAACCTAACTCCTTGAGTTTTTCAGACATTTCAGTTTTGATAAGTAAGATTTCTGTTTCACTCCCATGTTTCAGAGTTTCCTCCGTAAAGTCACAACAATTTGTTATCTTACTATGGATGTTTTCAAGTGTTTCTTTCTGTTCACAAAGTATTTGATGTTTACGATTGTAAATTGTTTGCAGTTCAGCTAATAAAGCTGTTTTCCGGACTTGTAAGAGGTTACCAAGTTCCTCAAAAGCACTGAGTATTTTTTCCTCCGCAGACTTCTTCTCCAAATCCAAAGACCCAACAACATCATTGACAAGGTTAATGGATTCCTCCAAACATGGCACTTGCTCCCTGGCACCAGACACAAGAGTATGCAAGAGAATCTTTTGTTCCTGGATTGCATCAAACAGTGGCACCGTTTTATGACCTATATGTTCAACAGCAGTACAGTCCTCACAAACCGCTGTTTCACAAGCTATACAGTAAAATCTTAAAGCATTACCATCATGATTGGGACACACTAATGTTGTATCAACCTCTGTTTCAGAAGTTCGGGAAATGTCCGACAAAGCTACAACATTATGTTCTTTGGTTTGATCCAATGCTTGATGAATACTCGTACAACTGTTACACAGAAATTCAGCACAGTCCATACATTTGGTTGATGGCCTTGCCTGTTCACGACTGCAGGTTCGGCATATGTTGGGTTGATCAACCACCTCCATAAGATTTGTTATGAAAAAGTTAGTCTGTAATGCTGATACACCTTGCACTGGTAAAATTGATTGTTGTCTACAGATTGGGCAAGTTACAGAAAGACTTTCTGCTGGTATGTAATTTGCCAGACACTTTTCGCAGAAAGTGTGCAAGCAGGGCAAGACCTTTGGAGCCTTGTAACGCTCTAGGCATATCCCACAGTTCAACAATTGTCTGTCAATCTGCCGAACAACAGGAATAGAGTCCGCCATGGCGTAGATATCCCCGCCATCAAAGGAAACCTGAAATTGAAAACCACAAAAGATGATCATGTCAACTTGTATCCTTGTTTTAGAAAAATAACAAAAAAATTTCATCACCTCAATATTGAAAGATAATACTTCTCAAATTTTTAGTCTAAGTAAAACTCACCCATATCATTTGTCAGGACACAAATTTTTGTCATTTTACGTACAGTAAACTGAATGCTGGGATAAATCTATCAATATTTCAAACATTTATTTTATGTACCACCAATGTTTTATATCTTTGTAAAACTTTAATTTATCATGTTAAATATGACTCATGTTCAGAGGCATTCATTTTTACATTTTTCACAATGTTGTCAGGTACAAGAAATGGCGAGGACATTAAATTTACAAAGGAATTACAGATAATTATTTTCCTGTCCCTCCCTTTTTATACATTAAAAACAAGGTACATTAATAAAATATAAACAAGTTTTCTGCATATCTTTGGCGTTTGAGTGCTGATTCTTTATTTTCTTTCATCTTTTTTTTTTCTTTTGAAAATACTTGCTGAGTTGCAGTAATTAATCTCTTGATGTATTCAAATCTAAACCTAAATACACCTAAAGTTTCCATTATGATAGTTTACACTCTTAGAAATAATTGCAATATCATATAAAAAAAGGAAATACTCTTATAGAAACAAGATGCCTCCCTTTGATTAAGTACCATAGTCTGTAAATACAGATTTCAAAACTGTGGAATTTTTAGTAAATTGAATAAACTTAAAGAAATTGTTAATCTGTTTCCAAATGTGACATCTTGAAATTGAGGTTGAGAATTAATCACTGCAATATTTGCAATTCACAGCAAATAAAGTGCATTCCTTGTTACTCAGATGGAGATTGTATAGTGCACGAGCACAGTCAATTAATATCACAAACTACTGAGACACAACACAAAGGAGACCTCGAAATCTTTAATCTTGACAAGCTTGTAAACTCATAAAGCATTTGATAACTAAGAAATCCTGGCAACTTGTTATACCTTTTTCTTCAATCTAATTCATTCTTTATTCCATCCAAGACATTAGAAACTTTAATTTTATCAAATTTATTTAAGTTTTTAAATTGATTTTAAAAAAGTGCTTGAAATAATCTAGAGGTTGTGCAATGTGTCTTATCTGTGCCTTTAATATTTCCTCTTAATTTCAATAAATTCATGATTTAAATACTGAGTTTTGAAGGAATTTTAGAGGAAATTTAAAAATTTGAGTGTCATAGTAAACTGTCATCTACAGTAGTATAAAACTGAATGACAGAAAGACGGAAAACTACACAAGTCTCAACTGGTCACCATGTTTTCCCATGGAAAAGAAATGGACAATGTCTGTAAAATGCTGCTGTTGTCATGAAGTTCCTCAAAAAGCATGCAAAGGAACATTATGATCGTTTGACACTCTGACCACCTGATGTGACTCTAGCTGGGCACAGCAGGTCCAGAGTATGGTTATCCACAACAAAGGCTATGTACCTTGTGATAAGTCAGGTAGATTTATCAAAAGTTGTCAATCACACAGATAGACCAGTCTCAGTTAGGATACCAAGTGTGACCTCCAGACTGCAAGGTCACCTAGGAAGTTCTCCTCCATTGATGAAAAACTGATTAAATGTGTCATATGATAACATACTTTGCATCAAAGTTTTTATTTAACTTGTTTAAGGACTCTTGAAAAAATGTTTTTGTGGACACTGAGGAAATCATTAGCATATGTTGGTGAAAATATTGAGTTGATCTCTTCCATTCCCTGCACAGGGTACCAGGCATTTTCTTCCATGAAAAATCTTAGGCAATAATGTATTCATTGTTGCTTACTGCATAGTGCTTAAACAGGAAAACTGCAAGCAAATATATAGTGTTCAATTAATTTGTCTTGGTCTACTAAAATTTAAAAAAAAAAAAGGATTGAATTCATTATGAATTGAGTAATACAGTGTAGATTTCAATGTTATTTTAGATCTCAGGACATTAATTACTCTGCATAAATGTACCCATTACTGTGTAATGTAAAGAGGGTCATTAAGTCAGTCTGTTTTAGCAAAGAATGCAACTTATAGGAACAACTTTTGTCATTATATATATATATACACGTGTACCTTCATATCATGGGCATTTCCTTCTAATTTTGCATTTTGAGGGGTATTTTGTGACTCGATCAGAGCAAGATTGCCAAAATTAAGATTTTAAAATATTCAGACTCTGAAAGAATCAAATTGTAGAAAGTTTCAAGCTATAATAATAACCTATTATAATGGGTTTTTAATTTCATATCATTAAAGTTTCAAGTTTTCCAAGGTACAAAAATATATTGATACTGACAGCTGATATTCAATAATGTTTCTCAGCCCATCCATCATCCTTCCTCTGTCATTCAAGCCCTCAAACTTCATTCTTTATTAAACCATTCATAGTAAAACATTTCTCAGTTTTCATGTCAGATAGTGTATATCTTGAATTTCATGTTTTTTGCATCTCATATTTGTAAGGGAGACCCAAGGTGAATCAATGCTACTCTACTGGTCAAAGCCCTTCGCAGATAAGGGAAAATTAATGTTCAATTCATAAAATACAGCTACAAAATTGCCCGAGATGTGGACAAAATAGACGGAGCCATGACAAAAGACTCTGTACTTACTTCTTAAACAAACCTTGTCAACTTCCACAAAGAGAATGGTTTGACACTCTAAATAACATGTTTAGCAACTGACTGACAGGTCTTTGAAAATGTCAAATTTCATTTCTCAGCACCATTGTTACGTACAATTTACGTTCAAAGCAAAATGATATAGTTCATTTTCTTCCTCACAAACATGACAAAACATTGAATTTTTATCTACGAGTGAAAATTGAAAATATTTAAAAGTTCATACCTATGCAAACTTTAATTCAAATTCTTGTACTTTAATAGTTAAGAATTACCTTGAAATTCTTAGAAATTTAGCTTCTTTCTTATTTAAAATTAAAATCATGATATTGTTGCAATCTAAAGTAAACTTGGCAAAATTACCCCATTAATATAATATTCATAAGAATCATTATTTTCCAAGTACATGCAGTGCATGTTAAATTTAACCATATGCATTAGATAGTTAAATATTATATAATTATTTTTTAAAAAATTGAAATTTATCATAAATTTTTCTTAAATTAACACAATATAAAGATACCTTTGAGTTATGATGGAGATAGAAATTATTAACTTCATTCCTCCAGTGTTCAATATCCATGTCCATTTATAAGTCAGTCAAGAGTCTTTCAACTCCGCCAGACTTGTAATGCCCCTCACAATGCAGTTGTTAACATTCAACAATTTTTCAATTGCACACAGAGGTACGACAGGTTGTCTAATTCTCTCTAATCATGTTATATTCACTAATTACAATCTCCACCTATTGTCCTAATGACTTGCATGTCCATGTAATTACTTCACTTTAAAATCTATTTCTGTACCAATTTACCTAATAAAGGAGTTTTTCCATTAAAACTTCATAGTTTCTAAGGAAATAAAAAAAAAATCCACGATAGTCATTTAAGGTCTTCATAATAAGGATTATATATAGTTTTCCATGGACTGTCAAGTTTAATTTAAAAAAAAAAAATGCGTAAATATAAACAAAAGAAATTAAATGACGCTCAAAAGTAAATAATGTATGTTTTTCACACATCACATTGAAGCTCTTCATATCCAATGCATGATTTTAGTTATCTCTTTTCTGGTCAGTATAGTAACACCTCTGTGATAGACCCAAAAGTGATGAATTTAGCACCTCCCAAACAACCTCACTGGACAGTTATCATTCCAATATATCACTAGTCTATACTGGCACTGTCCCTTTAAACCCTCAGACTATATATCTCTCTGCTGAATGGTTAAAGCTTTGAAGGTGCTCTCAGTAGAGAGATTTATAATATGAGTTTCGTTTGCTAAATTAGAGCCATATTTCATTATTAAATCAAGATTCATGTCGGACCACATTGGAATAAAAATGAGATGGACACAAAGATTACAGTTAATGTAATTCATTTAAAATTATAGCTGTTATTTTGGAATTTAGTGGAAAAATGTTGTATTATAATGATACCATCAATAAAATGAAGCTGTCACATTTTACATTTTATTTATTATTTTTTTTTTTTTTAAAAAATCCTTCATTATAAATTTTAAAATTACATTTTTAGCAGTATGTGCTAAAGTCTTACACCAACAACATAAATCTAGAAAAACCTTTTGAGTGTACTAACTAGAAATTATTTTTCACCATCAACAATGGCAGTTTTAACTAAACATTTTCGAAAATTTATTGGATATCTTTTTCAATATAATTTCAAGTCCTAATAATTGAACCAGAAAAAGATGCATTCAAAGACTACAAGCAAAAAGAAATAAAAACATAAACACCAAAGAGAAAGATATAGTTTTACTGAGGTGACCATGAAATAACGGTAGCTACAATTGTCAACAGGGGTCAAGCCCAGTCAATGGGTTTGTTTTTACAAAGATTCAGCAAGGTCTTCTTGTCAGCTGATAAGTATTGTATAAGTTCCAGTTACTGGGTGTTTCTTGTTGTCATTTCTCTTCACACCCCGTTTATTTCATGATTATTTCCTCGTTGATTTCATGACATAATACCCAGAAACTGCTAATCATCTGACCAATGAACCAAAGCCCCTGTTACAAATACATCCATTGTCCAAGTAATGCCATTCTTACGAAAAAGTTCAAAAGTGTATATTATGGTAATCGGCTATCTCTCCGAGTATAGCCTTGAGGTGTTGAAGGTCAATATAAATTAACCTTATAAGCCTTGCGGTTTTCTCTGTAAATATTGACCATTTAGTCTGAGTTACTCAATCAACTTTGAAGTACCGTGTTAGAACTATTTTGAAACAATTGACATGCAGATTTTTCCTTTTTTATCAATTACAAGTAGATCGAATTTGTTGTCCAATCTGCATATCAAACATATCTTTGAAATACAATGTAGCAGTGTTAT